TATTTTTGCATTATATTTATATTTGTCCAAAATTTGCTTATTGTTAAATTTTTAAAAAGCGTCTTTGCATCAAAATCCGATAATAATTCAGCAAGCTCATCTCGCAGGTTAATGTCCACGATACTTGCTTCACCCGAATAAATATACGTTTATTAATTTATGTTCTATAAAGAAACTGATATTAAGTCAATTATAAGAAAAAAATCGCAAATTTTACATACTCAATTAGGTATGTGTTATTTGCGCAATAAGAGCTGTTTTTTCTTCGACCCCCAATCGACCTTTCAGATTCGGATCGACCCCCATTCGACCCCCTGACTCAGATCGACCGCCGCTTTTGTTAAATAGACCCCTGGGGATCTATAGAGATCACTTTGGTGACCTCTGCCCTAAAGCATCACGGCTCTAGTGTTCAGTTATGAAGAAAATTTTTTAGCCGCCTTGATCTTAAATGTCTTACTTACTGAAATCATATTTAAGTGTAAAAAACACGAAAAATTATATTGGCCCGTCCTTATAAAAATATCTGGCGATTAAACTTACCGAAAAAGTATACCTAAAGTCGTATTATAACTCGGTAGAGTATCAATTTGACAATAAAATCAAATAGATATTTTATTTATACGATTTTCAAAAAAACAATGAAAAATATATATATCAAGTATAAAAAGTAATCGTAAAATGATTCGAAAAAGGTAACCTTATGGTAATTGAAACTGTATGGCAAAATCTAGAATTTAAATTAGCAGTTTTAATCTGCTTATAATTAGAGTAAAAAACAGAGAAAAACTGTTTTGTGAAAATCAGCCTTAAACCTTGAAATACACAAGGAAAGTTATAAAAAAGAGCGTTTTGTGCAACACGTGGGTAACAATTGAAAACAGAAAAAAAAATTTGAATTTTCCTTTAAACAGTTTTTTTTCTCTAAAATATAGGCTTTTTTTCTGTACATTTTACAGTTATTTCTTACAGCGAGAACGTTTAATATGCAAAAGTAATTTTATTTATCTTTACAAAACTCGTATTCATTCTTGTGGTGATAGTTACCTCTATTTAAACTCAATTTTTTTTTATCCAACATACTATTTATGCTTTAAAAAACAATACATAAGTTTTATGTTTATAATGAAATTTATAAATTTAAAAATTTAGTACTTGAAAACTGAAAAGAAATATTTTAAAATCTTACTCTTAGGTGCAAAGGTTCTGCTCTGTAAAATATTTTTTCCGTGAAATTCATTTTTATCAGAACATGTTACGGAACAAAAAGTCTGATATACTTTAATTTTTACAGTAATAATTACCTCAAAATCAGTGAATCACTCCAATTAAATAAATATTAATGTGAAGTTTACCGTGAAGTTTACGGTAAAAAAGAATTTTACAGTAAAATGAAATTGGCGGATGATGCAACCAAGGTTCCAGTACTTAATACCGTAATTTGTTCGGAATTTTTACAGTGTAGTAAAAACTTTCCATTGTTATTAATTTCGTAGTTATAAGTGCCATCCTTTTTCCACAATTCAGTATGCAGACAAATTATCTGTATAATTTTACAGTAAGTCATTTTTTTGCCATATTTGAAAACCTCTCTGGAAATGATATCTAAAAAATATAAAAAGCAAAAAACGTGCAAAGAAATAGTACAAATAAAATCTCAAATTTTTGGATATTTCTCGGATTGTATATTTAAAACATAATATTAATTTTAGGCTAATAGTTGGAAATAAGTATGATTTTGAAGACTGAAATTTGGTAACAATTGATTATAATTTGTGCTGCCAAATTCTGGTATCCATGGACACATAAAATCATAATTTTAACTTCAAATGATGTATAAATTTGTATAGTTTGCAGCAAATTAATATCAATGCAATAATCTAAAACAATTACATTTGGAGCGGAAATATTAATTCCACATTTTTTAAAGATTTATTTAAATTAGTTTAGAAACCTCTTTATCCCCTGTAGTTCAAATTAATAATTAATAGCTCAGCCAAGTTCTAAACAAATATTACAATAATTGGTAACATTCGTCACAAACCACACGCTTTACCACGCTTTAATTTAATTCACAAATTGCTAATACACTTGTGCATTGTCCTACGATACCAAATATTCCATTATTGATAATAATTATTTCTACAAGGACTATATCAATATGGTTCACTGTATTTGGCAGATTTTCCATTTCCACTATATTAGCTCACAACACTTATTAATGACCAATTAAGCACAGCTGATGTATTTCTTGTAAGCACCGATAAAATGAGTGCGGATATTGTAATATTGAACTTGCAAATGTCGATTAGTTTGTTCTGAAATCGTCGTACTTCAACTGAACTTTATAAAATTAATTATTAACTTTTGATTTAACTACATTAAAAATAGAATGCTTTCCATTTTAGGAAAAGCAGCTCTAAAAATTATTATGTCAGCAACAAATTCCATAAAATTCGAGATTTTAATAATTCATTTAAACAAATGGTGCAGTTAAAAATGCTTAAACATGTACATGAAATGCATCTGTAATTGAAAATTTAATTATGTCGTTTATAAACTTACGTATGATAATAGTATTGAGTGAAAACTTAAGCAAGTACACTGCAAAGAATGTCTGATCAAATTACGGTAAAGAGTACTGGCACTCTGGGTGCAACATCCATAAATTCCATTTTTACTGTAAAATTATATACCATATTTTTGAAGTAATATTTGTTTAAATACAGTAGTTCAGAGATTTTACGGTAAATATTGCTATAAAAATTACCTAATTTCAGATTTTTTATTGTTTTTCTTAAAAAAATTGAACCGCAATTTTTTATTGTGTAACATTTTAACTATACAAAGAATAATACATAAATTATATTTTTTTAAAGTGTGAAAGTAAATTAATTTTTAAAGGTGAAATTATACTTTTTTTTAAAAAAAGAAAGAAATTCCAGATTTTCATTCAAAATTAACTTTGATAAAATTATCAGCGGAACTACAAAATTATTTCAATAATATTAGATAAAAATGTTTGTGATAATTGTACATGTTCCCTATGTTCTAGAACTATGGATATTTTATGAAATGGTCATCCAATGCCTGTGTTTAGGAAAACAAAAAATAAAGAACCATACTGTGCAAACGGTTATTGCTTATAAAATTATTGCTTACATCAACTTTTTAAATATTTTATAACGTTTTTCTTGAATACAATAAACATATTTCTAATATGATACTTTTTTTCCACCCAGTATCGGAAATAAGATTCTTACTACAGTTATTTGATTGAACAAGATTAAATGTTATATAAAGTGTAAGTTATTATTGGTTATCATGTATAACTTATTTCTTCGTCCTTCTATATGTTTCATACTATTGCATATAATATGTGTTTGCAATTATAATGAATATCATTAGTATAATTGAATCATTTTAATTTTTCTGGTACAACCTTAGTTATGTGACAAGCTTGGCCATATTTCTGTGTATTTGAAACAAAAACCATACGAAAAATTTAAAATCGCATAGTTCCGATAATATTAATAGAGTAATCAACTTTTAGGGCTTTTTTTCTTAAAAATAACAAATCAATAAAGAATTTAATATAGTTTGTATACTTTCTTTAATTAATTAAATGCTGAAATTTGAAAATGAATTGTTTCTCCATTTTTCGTGAAATTAACCTCCATTCACAAATTATTTATCCCTTACTGAATCGTTCAAGTATTTTTATTAAAAAAAAATCTTATTTATAACATTTTAGTGCTATTTATTTTAGCTTTCATAAATCTCATGCAATTCTAAAAAATGCTTCATGCAAAATTTTAAAACTTGATTTTGTGCAATATAAATAGGCCTGTAGGGTAATGACTTTCTGGTAAAGAAAACCATAATTCTGGTGTATATAACTAAAATATATGGTACTTAAACTTAAACCATTCATTTGGTAATTTTTCCGTTCTTATGGTAACGGTTTGCCGGAAAACTTCTGGTTTTCAAAATTATATCTCGAATTACCACACATTTAGTAACAAATACAAAATTAAACTGCAAATTTAACTGAATAATAGTTTTTATGCCTGGCTTTCAGGTATTATGACAAAATTACCTAATTTTTCCATATTTTTCAAATTTTATCTTATTAACTGTAAATAAAACCGTATTTATTGTTAATTTTACTAAAATCATTACCAAAAAACTCCGGTGAAAATTACTGAGCTCTTTTGGTTTTTCCATAAAGCCAGTAATGCGGTAAACTTTATCATATTTCGGTAGTTTCGACCATGTTTTTTGTCTCAATGAAAACGTTTAATTCTACATTATATTCTTAAAATCTTGAATAACATTCTACTTTCTGAATTAATTTATTATTTGAAGAAAATAGAGGCATTTTTTGTTGGATTGTTAAAAATAGTACAAAGTTTTAAACTTAAGGAGAAAAAAAATCAAAGCTTAAAGAAATGGAAAAGAAGCAGCTTTATTTTGGAAGAATAAATTAATTCCTCAAATCTGTTTATTTCAAGAATTTTTGAAATTACATTTTGTTTTTGTTTACACAAATGAAAATCGAATTGAAAGATAAATTTTCAAACAATAACTGCGCATGAACAAAAACTTTTCTTCCAAACTTTTTCTTATAAATAAAAAATCCAGGGATAATGTTAAATTACATTTCAGAGAAAGCTGATAAATGACATCATGGTGCAATTGTATAGATATGGTTAAGTATAATTGTAATAAAGTGAATATATAAGAAGTGAATATTTAGAATTATGAAATTAAGTTCACAATATATCTCCCCTACTATTTGAAAGTCAAACTTATAGTGAGCTTCAAAAGATGCCGAATAAAACAAAAAATAATAAATTTTCTTGTGTAAACTAAATTAAAGAATATAAAAATCATATTTAACACTTTCTCCTTAAGTTTGGCTATGGAAAAAGAGTATTTTCAAGTTAAAAAATACTATTAAATAGGTGCAATAGAAAAAAAAAGTATATTTTACGAACCTTTATACCATTGACATACCACTTTAAAACTGCCGCAGGTTTTGAATATCCAGATTTGCATGTAACATTTACATAATCACCAACTTCATATCTCAATTGGCTACCTTCAATAACTGGATCTTGTTGAGGAAGAACTGTGAAAAGAAATATATCACTTTTAAATTATGTTTCTAAATTACAAAACGTAAATTTTCCCAGTGAAAAAAAGCAATTTTTTTGAAGACTTCAGGGGAAGAAACCGCTGAGGATGCATGAAATGAATTTCCTTGCGTAAAATTTGCTTATTACCATAATAAATAAAGGTACATATATTTAATTTTACATTATTATTCAAGCTTTACTTCGCTAATGTCTGTTTAAACTATATAATTAAAAAAAGATCATAGATATATTTGCGTTAATTATTGGTGAGCAAAGGAAATGGATAACCCTAAATAACTTTAGATCTAATGATCGGATCTTCACGTTCACTCAATCTTAATGGTTTACGTGTGTGACCTGGAATGTGGCAATTAATTAATACGTACGATATTTTAAGCTACAGAATCAGATACAAAAACATACTTTCCCTGAATAAACACAACATTTTTTCGACTGGTTTGGATTCCTGATTCCAAAAATATAGAAGTTAGCCTCAATCTGGGAATTAGTATCCCAATAATTTGCTGAAGAAAGCGGACCCTTACTGTTAATATTCCGTTTCACGTATTTTCCCATATGTCGAGAACTTTTTAAGCGAAATGAGAAATTTTTCCACTTAATGTTTATTATTCCAGTTATGTAATTTTCCCACTAGTTAATGTTTATTATTTATATTATTTTATTAAATGATAATCAAAAGATTTTGAATTGTAAGATATGCAGATTTTTATATCACTTTAAAGAATGCATTGTTACATGTCGAAACATAAAATTTGAGCAAAATCGGTAGAATGGTTACGGAGAAATCTAATTTTTAAAGTACCATACTTTCAAAATTCATATACTTTTTAAATTTTTAGCTATTTTTAGCATATTGTTTTGTAATAACTATGATAGAATTTCTGCTACTGCTAACTGCTTCTTTGCAATTAAGTACTTTTTACGAAGAAAAAAAAACTTTTATCAGGATTTTTTCCACAGAGCTAAAAATATTTTAGATTAAGGATGAAAAGCCTTTTATTTGCAAATATTTTCTCAGAATAAATGCTTTTTTTATTACAATTGATAACTGCTTTGAAAATATTTATTTATTTCATTTTGAAATGGATATAAATTGTAAAACTCTTTTACTATCATTAAAAGTTGGTAACTTTAGCAAAGGTCAAAGTATTGAAATGAAATATGTATTAACGGTTTTCTGAAAAGCAGCTTGTTTGGTTTTAGTTAGTTCAAGTACTAAGATAAATAACATTCATTTGTTTCTTTAAATTAAAATGCCAACTTTCAGTTTCCCATAATGAAAATACATTGCAAATTATAAATCTTCGTTTATTTGTTTTTGTTTTCTTTTTATGTTAGATTTTACCTATGTATGCATGAATACTTTCATTAACATAATGTAGTTTAATTCAAATAACTTCTTTAATTAAAATACACGTGTGTAAAGTATAAACTTTGCGTATTTTAATTTTAAAAGCCAAGGAAGGTGGAACTTGATTTGCATTTTCTGATTGAATACTAAGCTTAAACTGACATAAAATCATAAAACATTGAATTTTTCGTATTTCATTTTAATGATATATGTGACTATGACTACAGTTCCATTTCTTTTATTAATGAGATTTGAAGATATGTTTAAGGGATGTTTAAGTCTATTTTACACGCAGTTACATCCAATATTATTTACATTTAATTTTTAATGCGTATTACTGCAGACCAGCATTGATATCACTTTTATTATAAATGATTTTTGATATAACGACTGAATAAAGGATGAAAACGAAGAAAGGGAATTATAAATCAGTGAAACGAATCAGTGAATCACCGTATTAGTATCTTAGAAAATTTTCAATGGTGGAAAATATAAATAAATAAACCTACATTTACGGTTTGAACGCTGTTTTTTAGACTTCACCTTAAAGCAATTTCATTTCTTATAAGTTTGGTTTTTTTCAGATTTTCCTTGAACATAAATAATAATTACAGAAACCCTACTCTTTACGTTTTTGTTATTTCCCTTGAAACAATATGCTCAAGATGTGAGTATAATTAAAATGTATGTCAGAAAATTATTGAACTACATCAATGAGTATTGATGAATATTGATTTTTTTTGGCGTGGCAGATTTTGGGTATATGCTCCTTTTTTGCACCTTTTTATTTTTTCGATTTATTTTGCATTTTAGGGCTTCTTGTAGATTTTCCCGAGGAATTTTTTGGATATTTTCTTTATTTTTATGCATTTCTTAACTTTTTTTTTAAATTTTGAAGCATTTTTCGGGTGACACAAAGAAAGACTGAGGTTTAATTCTCAGTGACTGATAGAAACCCAACCAGTTTTAAATCTGTAGATTACCGACTTGTCTATGAAATACAGACGGCTTGTGCGCAATGGTCACGGAACAGTGAAGCATTATCCTCGGTGGCCTCCCTTGTCCACAACGCGTAGTTGAGAGAAAGTTCTACTTTTTACTAAGTATTAAAAAAATATTGGCTCATTCCTATAGCTTTCACTCATTTTTACTAAGTTAGATGCATTATATTTTTCAGGAAAAAAATGACCGTTGTCCATCATTGAAGGGATCCATTAATCAAGATAAACAAACAGAAATAACTTTGTTTTTTTAAGAAATGTGAAACAAGCGTTGCAGTTTGAAAGGGATTGTTTGACCAGCATATTTGGAAGAGAAAAACGTGTAAAAGCTGTTCAATTTGCTGAATCAGGAAAGAAAGCACATCAATGTTTCATTTAACAAGTCATTCACAGAATCCAGAAAACCAAGAATGGGTAACTGTTGATTGGGATTATGTAGTATTTTTGCGCCTGTAAATATTCTTTTAGAAAAACAGAAAAACGGAATAATTTAAATGATAAGAGTTTTTTTAAAAAAAAGACACTGTGCGGAAGAATTGGCAATTTTAAAAAACTTTTTAGAGAAAAAAATTCCGTTAGAATTATTGAACCATATGGTATTGAAATTTCTGAAAGAAAAAATATAATTCTGGTTAATAAAAGCAAAATAAAGTGTATTTAATATCATATCGATATATATAGTGCATTTAATATAGTGTATCATATAGTAATTTTTCCGACCATATGGCAACAGTTTCGGAAATTCTGGTTTTCAAAATTATAGTCTTTATTACCTAACATTTAGTAAAAAATACTAAACTGAAAAGTAAATTGAACTAAATAAATGATTTTTTTGCCATGCTCTATGGTATCATGATGAAATCACCACATTTTACACCAATTACCAAATTTTATCATTTCTTATTGTTAATTGTACCAAATCCGGATTTATATCTTGCTATATCACCTGTTGTATGATTTGACTTGTTATAACATATCAAATCATACATCATATTTCAATGTTTATTTTACCATAATCATTATCAAAGAGCCTTGGTAAAAATTATTGATCTTTTTACTGTCCCCATAGAGTCAAAATCACGATAATTCTTTTTCATATTCTTGTAGTTTTGTTTGACCTTTTAGTTCTCGGTGTAGGCTGATGATTGTTGTGTTATAACTCTGAACGAAATTCAAGGGAACGTACTTTTTTATATTTTTAAGGAACGTTTAGCTGTTTCGAAGGAATTTTCCGGGTCATGAGAATCTGGACTATATTAATAAGCTACTGAAGTCTTTAAAGAGGAATTTACACCTTTTATTTAAATTTATGTAATTAAGTATTATTTTATTTACTGTAATTAAGTATTACTCAGGAACATTTAAACCGTTTATATGAATTTTTCTACGCATTTATTTAAAATATTTGAAAATATTATATTTAAATATTTTATATATCAATACCCAAATATTGAAATATTTGAAATTGTTATATTTAAATATTTTAGATGATCAATACTCGAATTCTGAAATATTTGAAATTTAATTTAAGGTTTTTAAATTGCTTTAATTATTTGAACTTTTCTTTATATTTTCAACAACGCAAAAGTCTGGACTTCTAAAATAAAAAGCAGAACTAGTAGATAACAAAGTATAAAATCAATTAAAACCTTTCCTTCAGATTCTCCTTCTAAATACTTGAGACTAGACAAAGAAAAAGAGCTTTGAGAGAAAAGTTTTTAAGTATGTGCTTCACAAATACAATACACAATTCCATATTTCCTTTTCCACTTTTTCAAAGACTCGAATTCAAAGATACAACGAATTAAAAATCAATTTCATACTTTCTCCGTAAAAAAACTAAACTTTTAGAAAACTGAACTTTTATTTCATCATGACATATTATGACCTGTATATTATGATTTGTAATGATCGCGCACAAAATAGAAAATGTAACACGTTATTAATAATAGAGCACTTAATAATTAACTTCATTTAGTGGTAGAATTGTCACATACTAATATGCTGACGTAAGGATTTTAAATTCTAAACTTAAATAAATCAATTTAATCAATTTTATCAATCAACTAGAGCAAACGATGGTTCAAATTACGATATCACACACAAAGAAGTAAATTCTCGGAAGGAATAAGCATTTTTGAGGTTTAAAGAATGGGAGGCCTTAAATAATTAGCCTCAATTTTGAAAATATGGTCTCTATTGCTTAGTCAGAAGAGTGGCCAATAGTTAGAACTTCTAAACCTTAATTTTAACTTAAACGATTCTCGTCATATTTCTAAAACTACTTTGGTGAATGAAGAAAGTTTTGAACATAATTGCAAGTCTCGGTTATCTGAAAATAGTTCTATGCAAAAACGCGCTTTTTTAGAGTTATTTTATTTGATTTTCTACTTATTTTCATTGCTACTTATTTTTTAATTTATTATTACTTATTTTTTAATTTATTATTACTTGTTTTTTAATTTATTAATGGTCAAAAAATGTTTCTTCGCAATCTTTGATAAATTTCGTAATTTTTAAAAAATTCGATTTTAAAATTCGAAGGACAGGGATCGGACAAACTGTTTCTGAATAATTAAATTCCATCAAAAAATGCAGCATTTTTAAACTTTCTTTTCCG